GGAAGGTTTAAATAATGATTAAAGAATACATTAATTAGTATAATTTAGGATTTTAAAGAAATCGGAGAACTAGATGACAGAACTTTTGACATGTATAAATACGTTGTAAATTTCTCTTTCATGTAATCTTTAGTTTTAATTAACTCAAAGTTTTTTTAGTAAACTCAAATATTATTATAATAAATAAACCTTGATCTTGTCCTTGTGGTTTTCGAACATTATATTTTCGTAATGATAATAAATCTATCCCTAACGACGAATTTATACTAGTTCCGTGCATAATTATTTCCTCTTATTTTATATTTGTTTCTATTATTTTTATTGTTTTTTATTTCTTTTCTTTTCTTTTAGTAGGTAAAATAATCAACCTTATTTAATAGTTTTAGAGACGTACCTGACTTGGTATATGGCAAAGAGGAAAACGGCTAGGAGGGCACCCACCAAGAAACATGATCAGGATACATAGTGTAAAATCTAAAAAAGATATTGATTAGTATTTCTTAGTACAAGAAATTGTTTAATGATAGTAAAAGATAGTTTTGAGAGTAAAGCATAAATATACATTCGTGGAAATTGTTATTACGATTTAGTATAAATAAATGGGAAAATTGTATCTGCATGTCATCATAAATAAAAATCAAGAGATTTGTGTGAGACGCGGATTTTGATCTCACAATATGCAGATCACAAAAAAAAATATAACCAATCAATATATGACATCAATTTTCTTAGAATGTCTTACACCCCAATAGATGATGCAAAATAATTATATGAATTATGTGGAGTATTGCTTGTTATATTTTTGAATGGAAAAAGAAATTACAATTGATGAGATAGAGAATGCAGTTAGAACCTGTGGCCTTAATAAGATAATAAATTTTATTGGTGAGACTGATGCTCCTCATGATACTTCTCACATGATAATGTACAGTGCAGTAGCCCTCAAACTTTTCAACAATACAAAGTTCAATTTGCATCTTCTATCATCAGAGAAAAAATATATCAAAGATTTTTAAATGAACAGAAGTTTCCATTATGTAATTTTTTAAAAGCATGTAAAGATGAATCAGTTGCAGGTGGTATTCATGGTAATTGAAGAGTTTTCACATAAAATGTTAAAGGGTTGTGGGAAATATGAAATAAAAGTATTAGAGTCAGAAGAAGGAAATCCACAAAGAAAATAACTCAAACTTAACAGTGAAGAATCTGCTTCTTTAATTAGTGAATTAAATTATATATGTTACCATCACGTGACACATCTAGCTGGATAACGAACACTGGCTATTACTATAATAATAATAATAATAACGAACAAAAATTCTCAGGACAGAGGGTTCGGTATAAACAGAGTCAACTGAAAATGACTTCATGTCATATGCCTGTGAATCTTTGATTTACTTTTTTTAGTTAGGTCTGTTATTTATTATTTATTTTTATTATTATTTTTTTTTAAAGTCGTTTGATCAAAAATGTGCTATTTACATAATATTAATGTTCTAAGAAAAGAATAATTTTTTTAGTTTTTGTTTGCCTAATTGGGGTGGTTTTGTTTACATATACTATATATATTATGTTATAAATACTCGGACTGTCTGTCAATTTTATCTCGCAAAAAAATGGATGATGCAAATCTTGAAGATTTTTTTTCTTTTGTTTTACTGTTTATCGGAGCATGTTTATCTCCTTTATTTCCAGAAAAACTGGACAAAGCATTAGATGCAATTTATATTTTTTACACATCCATAGTTCTTATATTTGTAAAAATACAAAATTTCTCCAACCCGCATTTTAAACATTTTAACGATGCTCATAAAATGGCTATTTTATATTTTGTGCCGGCAATGGACATAATATCTCTCATATCACTCGCCCTCTCGATTGCAAATATTAAATGGAATAATAAGATACTTCGTATCAGCAACTTTTGTCTAAGCTATATAATTGTCCCAGGGGCTGTTTTGTTTTGTATGGTTATCTTGAGCTTTTTCAAAGGCGCTGACTTTGAATATATTGATAAATATATGGTTGTTATGTACATATCGGCAGAACTCTTCTTCATTTCACTTTTGTCTCTTTTCGCAAGAATAATATTAATTTCACAAGGAATTACCAGCAAAATGGAAACCATTCCCTTTCGAATGGTGTTTTTAGCTTCAATAACTTTTTTTCTAGCATTATCATTTGCTATTATTGTTGAAAGTACACTTCATTTTGGATTTAAATTATTTCTATCGACTCTAAGTGGGTTGGTTGGAAACATCATAATCGGAAAACTTTTTTCAAAGAATATCGGAATTGACAGAACATCCTGTATAGGTTATTATCTTACAAATCCACCAAATAAAGAATTTCCTCCCGTATAAAATCCACTGAGATATCCACATAGAACAACCATGGAAATCCGGGTAGTACTAAAAGCTATTATTCTATTATTCATTAATTCATTATTAGCGTATATATATTGTATTCTTATTTTTTAAATTTGAAAAACAATAAATTTACATGATCTTCATTATCTTCCGGGATTTCAATCGTGATGACATTTTAAAGGCTCCTTTTTTGTAAAATTCCATACAATGTATACAACTTTTTCCAAATCTTCGTAGCATTATAATGATTACTATGGCCACAAATTAATACATCTAGTGGATGCGTTGTATGAAAACCAGTAAGTGTTAAATTTAAATCAACCTTTTCACCTAGAGTGCCTAATTTATAACTTGTTTTTCTTTATATTTCAATATTTCGATAAAATTTGTCGAAGCAAAAGTTTGAGGTCTTCATGATCTATTTAGACATATTAATGTAAGTAATTCTACTTTCTATTTTTTTATAGATGATTCTATTGTTATTATGGACCAATTAATATTAAGAATATTTAATTTGAACCCGTTAAGAATTCGTTATTATCGATTATGATATTAATATTTATGTACAGAATTCGCGGCGATTTCTTCCAGCCGAACATATTCCTGACCATCGATCAATCAATCATAAACGCCTCTTTTGAAAGGAAGTTAATTTTGAGCAAGTAATTGTTGGTGATGGGATGGCAAATTTCGAATTCCATGGAGATTTCCGATGAATAAAATATTTGTAACCATTTATTTTGATGGTGATGTTGGATATCGGAATCCACCGCAGTTGTAATCATGGTCACAACAATTTCTGAGGGCTCCAGTTCCTCATCTCTGAGTTCCAGGACCCTCAAATATGTTGCAGATATCTGGAAGAGAGGTATCATTAGAAAAAGAAACACATCAATGCTGATAAAAAAAAATTATACGCACTTTTAAAAATTTCATGGTCAAACGGTCAAGATTGATGTCGTCGACGAGAATAATTTTTCCGCCACGTGAAAGCTTTGTAAGGTAGTTGTTACGTTAGAGTCGTTTGGATAAATGGCAACAATGTGCACAATCAATTCCTCTCCGGTCGAAGATTTTGAAACTCCGACAGCATTCATGATAAAATGTTCATTTATAGGAATCTCTTTCATCTTTATCGCACAAACAATCGAATTAATTAGTAAATAGTAAAAGAAAAAAGGTTAAGATGGCAAACTTATTTATTTATTTTTCGCGACCAAACAATAAATCTTTATTTTTTATTAAAATAATAATAAAAATTGGCTAACTTTATTTTTCTTATTAGCAAAACCTTTTCACTTTTGATCAAAAACTATTTATTATACAAATATTTTCGAAATCTGAATTCTTTCAATTGTCACAAGACAATCCTCTGAAAATGGGAAACAAGAAGATTTTTTAAAAATCTTGGGCTAGTTTTATAAAATATCAATTAATAAATACACTAACAATTTTTTTTGATATCTGGTGAATTCAAGGATATTGTTCTTTATGATTATTACATTAGTGTGGATTGGAAACATGGATTTCCGAGATGAATTGTGGTGATTTTAAACAAGAAATTTTTTTTAAGTACATAGTAAAAAAGCAAGTTATTCTATTTTAAATTTAAACATAATCCATTCCTTTAGTTTTAACGTGGTGTGTAATGGAAAAATTGATGGTGCGACGCAAAATTTCAGTGATTGCAGCAATTTTTTTAGTGCATCTAAAAAAAATTTATATCATTTTTTTTTATTTTATAATTAAGAAAAAGAAAAATCAATTTAAACATTTGTAAACATATTGCTTCATATCTTTCCCAAAAATCTAGTTTACAAAAGTTCGTTGACAAGCCTTTACAATTTGCCATTTGCGGCCAGCAAGCATAAAATAACACTTGCAGATTGCAAATTACATTTTATAAATCGGTTTGCAGGGAACTTCCTTGTTTAAAAACAGAAGGTTGGCGAGTTTTTTGAATGATCACATAAAATATGCAATAATCGTATCGGACAAAAAGTAGATTTTTTTTTTCCACAACAAAGAACGCAACGCTTTTTTACGTGTTACATGTCACGCATGCTGTACTCAAAAATTTTTCAACTAAATTCGAAACATATAAATAGACTAGTTTTCGACATCATTACCATCATATCTAAATTTGGCAGTAAGGAAAATAATCTTTTTAACCAAAATCACGCGAAGACAAATCGAAATTTGAGCGTGTGGCGCAACGATAAGATGTCTTTAGACCGAACCAACCATAGTAATATTTGATTAACTTATAACTTATATTCAACTTTTCCAATTACAATAGTACAAAGATCATATATCTTGATTTTTTTATAATGTATTTAAAAAACAAGAAGGTTTTTTAAACAACAATAACAGATATACCTAGGGTATAATTATAACAATTTAAAAAAACGTTATCGTTGGCTAAAGACCTCCTATTGCTGCGCCACACGCTCAAATTTCAAAAAGGGTTTCACGTGATTTTGGTTAAAAAATTATTTTTCTTACTGCCAAATTTAGATATGATGGACGAGTATTAGTCTAAATTTAGTAACAATCGTAGCGCTCAAATTCCTCACGACCTCGGACAATTATAAATTCAACTGGTATTGAGAAAAGTGGGTAGTGATCAGATAGTGAGTGGTCTTTCGATTTTAACACTAAATGTGACATAAAGTGACGATCACATTTATATTGTGCAACTAACAAAATTAATTGAAAAAGTACTTTAAAATACTCATTAATGTGACATAAAAATTCCACAAACAAATATGCGTGAAACTTTGCATAAACATTCTTTGGGTGCTTTATATACTGAAAGTTCTTTCCCATCAAGTCCATCAAGTCCAGTTGCAGAGATGAACAAGAAGCGAAATTTATAGGTTGACGGCAGTAAATCTGCATGGAGCTTTCTGAAATTGTCATGATTTTAGGTACCTTTGTTAACATTTTTATTATATTTTTATTTCATTCCAAAATCATTCATAAAACTTTTTTACTTCCAGAGACACCTGATAGCCTCCCGTTTTTTTAAATCGTCCATTACACGTCTACCTGCACTACCGAAATAGGCTAACAAATGGCCAGTGGAAGGACCCTGGGATAACGAATTAGGGCAAGCGGAAGCATTTCTTTGAACGTGACGAATTTAGAAACCGTGGAACGGTTCACACGCACTGTTTTACCTACACAAAAAAAGGGATTTACGCGATACATGCAGACGTTCCTGACCCCGCCATGGAAAAAAGTTGTACGATTTGGTCGTGAAGTATTAAATTACACCATTGTAACCATCAAATTGATGGAGAACCATGATCCAAAGGGTTCCCTCGGTCATTATCTGACAAAATCTATTGCTCGCTCAACCTGTTAAGATTCGTCTATCGTCGCGTAAAGCAAGAAGACAGGATGGCCGTCCCATATCATCCCAAGACGCTGCTGATATGGAATGGCTACATAAATTTTCGATATGTGATGTTCACGAAATACATTACGAAAGTCGAGCAAACCCAATTGTTCAACATCAATGAAACTGACGAATACCGAAAACATATCGTAGCGAGAAGGTTGAGTGCAATGGAATTGACGATACTTTTGCTCCAGCACCCAATAACCAGATGTTCCGTCTCAGTACACTACTTTCCTCCGAGTACTGTCTAAAATCTGTGAAGCCGATGCACTTGCTAAACAAGGAAATGGATATTGAAAGTGACGTGAGGAGCGATGAAGACGTGGATCACTCCTTGCCGAGGTGAGCGATAGATAAATACTTTGACGGACCAAAACACGAGCTTTTCAAAAAGCTCACCTACCCCGACTATTTCCAAAACTACATTATCAGGTCCAAAAACCCAGGCCTGGGTCAATTATTTGAGTTTTTTATTGTGAAAAATCTTTATGTGATCTTTTGAGATCCAATGAAGTTCTTTCAAGACATGTAGACCCAATTTCCACCAAATCAAATAGCCTGAAATATTACACATTTAATGATATTATGTAAAAAAGCAAATAAATAAAAAATTTTACTGTGGATGTTTTTGATCAAGTCATCCAATTTTAGTCATATTGAGTGATCCAAAATATAATAAAAATGAAATCTTTTATGTGGTTCATTGCCGATGGATGATATTGATCAAAAGAAGTTGTTTCTAATCAAAATCAGCAAATATTTGGTCTAGATAAATGAACTCGTACTTCCCTGATGTTAGATTTTGGACATTCGTGCAATATCCTACAATAAAAAGTAAAAATAATGTATTAATATTTCAATTTAACAATGAGGAGGCGTGAAAAAATCACTTGGATAATAATAAGTTTTCCTTTTATATTTTTTTTTCCGATTTTTCGCTCGATTAAATGTAATTACCCAAACTCGACTCATAACGATGTCTGTCTCTTCGAGGATCATTCCAACTTCTCTCATCCACATTCTCATCTTCTTTGGATATTATCGCATTTCCACAAACCTTAGAACTCGCACAATTTTCTATGCGTGAAATAAGAGTCTCTTATTTTCCCACAACCTTAACATTCCGCGACCCTCTTCAAATAAATACGAAATGATCTGGGTAGTACAGGATGCTCCAGAATATGATAGATTTAAAAATTTATATATCAAAATCAAATAATCGTTTTTGTCGATTCTTAATATTCCTATTTCAGAACCCAACAATAAACCACTATTACCCAAGCAGAATAAAATATTATGTGAACTTGGATGTAAAAAAATAAAACAATCTCCACCACCTTAATTTTTGCATGTAAAGACCATTACAATTAAAAGGCTACCTATAATGTCATATCACCTTTAAAAACTTTAACATATAACTTGTAATAATTGATTTTTTGCTATATTCATAGATAGTCGCACCACATACTGTATGTGAGTGAACCTTTCTTCATCCATGATTTTCATATGACTTGACCCAAATTTTGCCACTTAAAGACTTATCGTCTCCATCGTTTTTGGTGGCGAAGCATCTTTCTTACATTTTGTTGTTTTAGTTAATGCGAAAATCATACTATCACTATCGATATGGAAAATTAAAAATAAATAAAAAAAATTTTTTTTGCTTTTATTTGTTCCTTGCATATATATACACCTGTTTTAGTTAGTAACGAAATTTACAAAAAAATTTTCAATTAATATTGTTAATAACTGTCAACTTAATATTTGTTTTTATTGATAATATTAATAAATTAATTAATTACCGTTGTTTGCACGTTTTATTGAGTTTTTACTCTATTTACAAAGAAAAAAAAATTTTCCCTTCCCATATAATCTAATTCAAAAAATTATTTATTTATTTATAAATTTCTCTTTTTTTTTTTACAAAATTTTTACCACTGCACGGAAAATAATAATTTATTATTTCAAAAAAAATATATTTTCTTTTTCTAAAAAAAAAATAGCACAGTTTATTTATTATCGTCATCTATTATTATTTATTATTTATTTATTTCATTATAATTTTTTTCTTCCTATCTAAAAAAAAAAAAAAAAAAAAAAAATTAAAATGACAATCGAAGAAAACAAATCAATTGTCGTCCCCACCAAATTCACATGGAAAAATTGGGGCAAGGATATCACAATAGCTGGTACTTTTGATGCCCCCACATATCCGGTATGGAAACCAATCGCAATGCCAAATGGCGAAGTTGAAATAAATTTGATCCCAAAGAAAAGATATTATTATAAATTTGTTATCGATCATAATTGGGTATTGGATCCTAACTTAGCCAGTTATTCTGATGAGCATGGAAATTGGAATCATGAAATTGTTGTTGAACAGCCTATTCCTCCTTCTCCACCACAATTACCAGAAATTTTTAAAGAAGATTCAACAATTATTCAACCTCCCGCGCCTCTTCTTACTCCACCAGAATATGATTTTGATTTTGAAAATGATAAATATGTAGGCGAGAAAGAAGAACAACATGTAATTAATTATATTGAACAACATAACGATGATTTTGAAAATGATAAATATATAGGCGAGAAAGAAGAACGACATGTAATTAATTATATTGAACAACATAATGATGATTTTGAAAATGATAAATATGTAGGCGAGAAAGAAGAACGACAAGTAATTAATTATATTGAACAACATAATGATGATCTTGAAAATGATACATATGTAGGAGAGGAAGAAGAGCAAAAATTAATTGAACAACGTAATGATGATCTTGAAAATGACACATATGTAGGAGAGGAAGAAGAGCAAAGATTAATTGAACAACGCAATGATGATCTTGAAAATGACACATATGTAGGAGAGGAAGAAGAGCAAAGATTAATTGAACAACATAATGATGATCTTGAAAATGACACATATGTGGGAGAGGAAGAAGAGCAAAAACTAATTAGTAATTATGTTAAAGACTTTAAAAGTGATAAACATGTAGGGGAAAAAGAAGAACGAAAAGTAATTGAACAACATAGTGATAATGGAGATATCGTACTATTGATATTAAAATGGTACAGAAAAGTTAAATTTTGGTTTGGTTTGTTTTTTAAGAAAGTAAACATGCTAAAAACACGTTTTACGAGTTATCTTTTGTCAATTTTTGGTTAGTCGACAATTGAATTATGATTATCTATCGTTTGTTATTATATACAAATTATCTTTGGATAATTTTGATTAGTATTAAATATTTAATCTACAATTGAATTGATTATTGTCTATACTAAAAATGCTAAAAAACATTTTATTTATCCTGTTTTTTCGCGGCGGCGAAGCATCTCTATGTTTTTTAAAAAGACTTGGTCAACAACAAAAGGGAAATCAATCGCAAATTATCATGTTCCTTTTTTACACTTTCAAAAAAGCCTTGGTCGGTTTCTTTTGACAACGACCAATTCTCATTTTTATTATTATTCATGTAACAACTCTTTAACATTAAAATAAATAATATCATATTAATATAATAATAAAAAATATAAGTGTGATGCTAATATTCTTTGGTTGTTGAATCACGATAAATTGATCGCTAGAATTTGGTGATGGTGAAGTTATTTATTTAAATAATGCAACTTTTGCTTTTTCAATTTACATACTTATAGAAAAACTTTAAGTCAATCAAATAAACTATAGAAAATGTTGTACGAAAAAATTGTTTGTTACATGTCATCCAGCTCTTTGCAAAGAAAACAGGTTTTTAAACGAAAACGTAACATGAGTTTTGTGAAATACAGATTAATATTATAGTGCGATGATGTTCTTTCACATGATTCAGTCACTTACATATATATTCGTTCGGAGCATCAAACCTAACACTGGATGCGAGGCATTTTAGTGTATTCATGATCAATGATGCAATCTTTAATAAAAATAGACTATTTCATAGTCAGATGGTGCATTGATCGAGTAGTCTAATAATTTACAACAAAAACATATAAATAGACCCGCTACCTCCACTCGTGGTCCAAAAAAAAAGCGATATATCAGTTTTTCTTTTTACGTTGCATTTGAATTCGAAGGTCGAGGTATGTAATGCCAAAATGGCGTTCTATGTATGATTTGGCTTTACACTTTACATTCAAATGCGGAGTATCTCATTATAAATATATATCCCATTTCATTATGTGTTTTAACCTGTAAATATAGTAATAACATAATAGATATTATTATTAT